AATACCCATTGTGACAGAGCACACCGCGAGCCAAACTCACCCAGACTGAGTCACTGATCCTCAAGTGTGTCTGGCAGGGACTGCACACACAGCACTTCTACTGAAACCTGCTCTTTCCAGCCGTCTGTAGTTTGGGTACAGCCAGCAGAAATTAACTTGTCTCACTGGAGGAAAACATCAGCTGAGAGCTAGTACCAAAATGAAGATCTGCTTAATGGGTGCAGGCTCAAGCTCACTTTTCTGCTTGGGATTTTGTGGAAGAGGTTGAATATCAGCAAAGAGAGGTCCCACAGTGCATGGAGCTGGGATGCAGACACGTAACAACCTGCACAGCCACTCCAGTCAGTTCCTGCACTTTCATTCCCCATCCCCAAGGCACCTGTGCTTAGAAGAAAAAAATATGCAGGCTCAGGTTCACAGCTAATAGCATCACCTCAACTACACATAGATAATTTAGGACAACTGAAATGGACCTACCAAAAACTATAATTATTATTAACCTAGTATGTCAGCTGACTGTATTTGCATGAATACCAAAAAGCCTTTTGTCAATTCAGCTTTGTATTCGAGTAAAACTTAGTGACTAGGCATAAACAAGACTCTGCCCAGCAGCAGTCAGCTGCACTTAACTCAGGTGTCCCTGCCCATGCCAGCGGGGTTGGAACTAGATGATCTTAAGGTCCTTTCCAACCCTAACTATTCTATGATTTTGGTTGCCATAAACTATTACTATGAGCACACAAAAAGCACTGCAAGGCAGAAGAGCACCCAGATTAAGCTTAAAAGAATAAAAAAGCAAGAAGTAAGCCACCCACCAACAAACCTTTTAAAAAGGTCACCAGCCAAAGTGTTCCATAAGAACTGCCCATCGCTGGCAGGACATTATGAGGTAATGAGTTGATTGATTCATTTTAAGAAATATAATTTTCCCTTAGAAAATTGATACGTCATTCTTACATTCTTTAGAAGATACTCTTAATACGTAATTCTCATGTTCTTGAAGACATATGTATGAAAACCTCTATCTCAGGAAAGAGAAGAAAAATCATAATGCTTTCTAGAATAAAGAAGAACATCTTTCAGGACACTATTTCTGCAACGAGTGTTTCACTGAAGGTATTCCAACAAAGCTAGACACCCTTTTTCATATGAATATGTGTGTGTGTGTGTGCATGAGAATGACAATTATGGAACCCTAAAACTGTATTTAGTTCTTTTCTTTGTTTAGAAGAAGTCATGAAATTTCTTCTCCTAAAGAAAAGAATAAGCATTACCATCAGGGAATAGCTAATCATCCATGGGTGACAACTTTTCCAAGAAAGCCCCGAGTCATGCACCCTTCAGAAGGCAACCCAACATCTTCCCAGCAGCCACACAAGCATCAAACGTCATTACATGGTCCTAAACTCTTCCCCAAAATTGTATCTTGCAACTGGAGTCATTGTATAGAAGTTTTATCAGCTGTATATTACAGCACTCTTTTTCTTGCAAGAAAAAGGGTTATGGCCTGACTTGACCTCTCCATAACAACCTTTTTACAGGACCTTATCCCTCACCGAGTTCCCCAACATTTTCAGGTGTCTCTTGGTTTTCACTGATAGAGATTCACCATCTCTTCCCACTTTATTATCCATTTCCTGATGGCTTCTGCCTTCCGAAGAAGGAAATGATCAAACCAAACACAGACATTCAGTCAGAAAAAGTGACCTTATTTGTTATCATGCCATTGTCATATTCGATACCACCTCACCAAGATTTCCTGTCTCCCAAACACTGAGCATATGAAATCTAAGATCAGAAGACTTCTTACATCACTGGAAAAGGCTCCAGCAGCTTTCTCAGATAACTGCTGCTCAAGACAGCTCATTTACACAACAAAAAAATCCAGACATACTCCAAAGGAAGGCAAATCCCAACAGGTGCTACTGAGTCACAAACAAGCTAAAACAACCCAGGAAGGAAAAAAAGTCATCACAAGAGCTGTCTGCAACATCATGACCCAAAATACCATTCCAAACAAGGAATCGCCCTCAGAAACTTTTGGGATGTAAGACAGCTCATCTGCCCAAAACCCTAATTCTTTCACCAGTATCTGTTGGTCTAACACAAGCTGCTACTACTCCTTCCAAAAATGTACCTTTCTCCTACTCTCTACCCATCATGTCTTTACAACCTCTAACTTAAACAGCCTCTTATTGCTAAGAAAATGATGCCTCAACACAAAGCTACTGGGCATACTGACCACAGTCCTGGGATAGCAGGCTGTTCAAGTAAGGGAAACTGATCCTCTTCAGCTCATCTAGCTTCTCCTTCAGTTTCCTGACTTGACTGTCAGAGCGACTGACCCTCTGCCTCAAAAGTCTCAACTCTCCGTTCTTCTTTTCTACCTGCTCCCGCAAGCAGCACACCTGACTTTTGCTCTGCCTGGAGGAGAAACAGTACGAGTGGAGGGAGTCGATGAGTTTGCAAGCTCCTGAGGCTGACATGATAACCTCATTGATTGACATGGGGTTAGCATCTGTGTCACCCTTCCGCCCCACCACAGCCTCAGCAGCAGGCTGAGGGGTGAGATCTGCTGGGGACGCCGACAAACCCTGCAAAGGTTTCTGAGGGGTGGCGGTGAGGGATGAAGTAGGGGAGCCTTCCACTATAGCTTTATTGTGCCCCATCAGATGGCTGCTGCAGCTTGGTTCCACATCTCTCTTTGGCCTTTTCCTTTCTAGCTGCTCTTTAGGGAAAGACGGCCTCTCTCGGGCATGCTTAGAGGAAAAGCTGTATGAATGAAGGGAGCCGATGAACTTGCAAGCACCAGAGGCGGGAGGGGTGAAGTCATCGACCGACACACCACTTCTATCTGCTACCCAGCTCCCCGTCCAAGTGGCTTTCCGGCAGTCCTCCGCAGAAGATCTCTCAGGCTTTTTTTGAGGGCCAGGCTTTGCAATCAAATTATCACCTAACGTCCTTCTCCGAGGGCTGTCCAGCTGGCTGTGATGGTTCTCCTCCTCCTCAGACATCGATTCGCGTTTCGCTTGCAACGATGCCTCCTCCATCTCCTTCGTCCCTTGCATCACCATGAAGTCCTTGCCAGAAGATGAGGTCCTTTGAACTACCTCACAGCCTCCTTCCCTTGGGTTTTCTCCATCCTGCAGCGGCACCTGGCTCGCTATTTTTCTTCTGCTCCTGACATAATCCAGGTTGTCGTGTTTTTTCTCCGCAAGCTGGAAGATTGTAGGAACAGCAGTGGGCTTCAGCAACCGGTGCTGGTCTTCCAGCCGCTTAGAAAAACTGTCTTTGGTGAAATGCTCGCTGCAGAGAAATGAGTATTTAGTGGGAGTCCAGTTGTCCCTTTGAACAGCTTTCAGCCACTGAATCAGACGCTTTGAATCCTTCAGAGGGAATCTAAAAAAATCCAAACAGACAAAACCCATGTAAAAATAAACTGCATTTTAGAAATCAGAAGGGTAAGTACTCTTAAGTTTAGGAAATTTTTGTGAAAGCTGTATTTTAACAGGTTACGCTCTTTAGTTCACTTCGGGCTGAAACACTCGATACTGGTTTCCCTCCATTAACAGCTCCACAAACAGCACAGAACAAGTGTTGTTTTCCTTTTCATCAGCAACTGACCCACTACTCAGCTGTCCCATCTGCCCTATGACAAACACAACGGCCTCTCCACAAGAATGAGGATGCGACTGAACATTCAAACACTCCAGCTTGGGCAGCACACTGTCCACTCCCTGCCTCAGTAACCCTGTTCATGTTTATGGCGGGTCCACTTAATAACGTAAAAACACCTGGACTGATAAAAAAGACCCACAGCAATTGAATGAAGCGCCTTTTCCTGACAGAGTCGCATCACTTGCCTGAGAAGACCTTCCCTTAGGGACTCACCAGTGGCAGCATCCCCAGCGAGGCCCCTGGTGCGGGCAGCCGCTGGGGGGACGGAGAGGCCTTGGTGTGAGCCTCGGCCCAGGCCCTACGGCAGCGAGAGGAGCTCGCAGCTGCCAACAGCCATTAAGGAGCCCAAAACTGGTCCCCGGCGCTGCAGGAAACAAAGGGCGGCTGCTGCCGCTCGGGGCCCGGAGGTGTCGGGAGGGCCGGGCAGTCACGGAGGCAGAAGCGCCGCGAGGGCACGCAGCCGCCCCGAGCCCGGCTGCCCGGCCGGAGGGAAGCCGGGAAGTGAAGCAGAAGCGAGCACGGCACCTGCGGAGGGCCGGGCGCGTCGGGGCTGAAGCGGGCCTGGCGGCCGCCCTTACCTGTGGAAGGAGACGGCGCCCCGGTGCGCCTTCCCCTGCCGGTTGGAGCAGTTGGCGGCGGCGCAGCAGATCACCATCTCCGGCCGCCGCCGGCCGGGCCCGCCCCGGCCCCCGCCCGCCGGCCCGGGCCGCCGCCTGCCGTACAGCAAGATGGCGGATACAGGTCACCCCGGCCGCCCCTCCGCCTTTGGGGAAGGGGTTTCTGTACGGCACTACCGTCAACCAAGATGGCAGCCGCCGCAGGCCGCCGCCATTTTGGCTGAAGCGCTGCCGTACAGCGCCGATGCTGTAACGCGCGTGGGGAAGGGGAGGGGGATGAGTGGGATATGGGGGATCGCTCCCGGCGCCACTCGCTTGCCTCCTCGGCGCTGCAGGGCGTCCACCTCCCGACGAGCCGCTCGGTCTGCGGCAGCCGAGCCGTCAAAGACGTCTCCGAGAGGGATCGGGCGGGGGAGGTCTACCCTCCAGGGGGAAGAGGGGAAGGGCTCGGCCGGCTCAGTATAACACGATGGTCGCACCCGTACACCGGATCTTTCCCGGGCGTACGTGTCAGGGGCCGCTCCCGCCGGCGTCGTGCGGAACAAACAGCGCCCTTACGCGGCGTCACGCCACCTTCGCCTAACCCCAGCTCCGCTGCCCACACGGCGCCTCTCCCCATGCCGCGCCGCCTCTCCGTACGGCAAAATGGCGGCCTCCAGCTCTCGAAGGAAGCCGCCCGGCGCACTGAGCCATGACAAGCGCCGCAGCAGCCAACCGCCGCGGACGCCGGCGGCTAGCGGCGCTCCCATTGGGTGGCGCCGTGCTCGCGCCAGCAGTCGCGCAAGGCTGCGCCGGGGCGTATGTGTCGGCGAGGACAGCGGCGGCTGCAGCCCTCGCCGGGGCCGCCGCTATGGACGCAGGTGGGTGTCGGGGGCGGCCGCTTCCCGCCTGCGGTGCCGGGAGCGCTTCTGCTTCTCACCCAGGAACCCGCCGCCCTGCCGAGCGGCCGGTTGGGGCCTGCGGCTTCCCGGGGCGGCCTAGGCCCAGGCGGCCCGGAACGGCGCGGCCTCTTACGGTGCTCGGGGGCGCGTCTCTTACCTAGCTGGTGGCCGGAAAAGTCACTGCTTCCCTGGGGTACGGTCCTGGAAGCGGCGTTCTCAGCCCTGTGGGACCCGAAGGGGCCTGGCCGCTTCCCTGCGGGATGCGGGGGAAGCCGGGGGTTCAGGTCAGCCCAGCGATGGCTCCGTTCCTGCCGCTGCAGGCCAGAGCTGAGAGGGAGGTCTGTCAACAGAGAGGCGAATCCCTCCTGCCGTCACCAGCTTGGCTTTTACCGTCGTGCCTGAAGGTACTGAGCTCTTCCACGTAGTTTGGCGGCATGGCCTGGACAGGGCTGCCCGGGAAGCGAACCAGAGGGTGAAAGCGGTGGCTGTGGCCACCTACTGCACCGAGGGGTGAAGAGACTGAGCCCCTCCTCACCTTCACTGAGAATGCCAGCAAAGCCTTTCACGCTAGATGTTTTGCTTCATATGGGGTAGAAGAAAAAGAAGTGTGTTAGCACTCGCCTATTTCCTAGTCTTAAGTTAGTAACAGCTTTCATTCATGCTCTGAGAGATAAGTGATGTTCCATAATAACAAACGTTCTCCTGTGCTGCCTGGGTTCCACCCCCATGTTGGGGGAGCATGTGTATGAAACAGGGAGCCGGTAGCTCTCATCCCTCCAGACTGCTGTCTTGACTTGGTTTTGGCCCTGGTGCAGGTGCTGCTTTTGTCAGTGTATTCCAGCTGATAATGTCCTGCCTTTGCTTGGTGTGTCCTTGTCTGTTGATGTATCCTGTCTCACATACCTGGGAACAGAAGTGCGTTCCAGCAAGTGAACTTGCATAGTGGGAGCTGGGAGATGTGTTTGGTTTCCCTTTGTGCAAGTGTTGTGAGGATGACCAAGAGAAGGAAAACCTTGCTGTAATAGACAATAGGGCTGGATTTCCAGTGTGCACAGAGGAGGTGGGTCTCCGGGCTTTGGAGCAATGAGAGCTCAAGCCCCTTTGTGTCCAGCCATGCCTCTGAGACTGTCAGGGGCCTAGTGGGCAGACTTTCAGCTCTTCGCTCTGGGTCTCCAAGCAAGTGCCACTCTCCAGTTGAATAACATTCCTCCTTGGCTGTTTCTTAATGACTCATGGTTGCTTAGATAGTTGGGATTTGTCTTGTTTGAAAGGTCTTAGGGGAAAGGAAAGAATTTTATTTCTGCAAAGGCCAGAAGTAGGGATTCGGGCTGTTCTTCCGTTACCTGTTTTGTAGGTGTTTTATAACAGTGAGCTTCACTAGCACAATATATTTACCTTCTCGCCTCTCTTTTGAAATACTCTACATCCACTGGCATTCTTCCTCCCCACACTGCCTTGGCTGATGCACCTTTATTAGCTGAGGGAGATGTTCATTCCCCCTGGTTTCTGATTCTTTTGTGGCAGTGTTAATTGAAGGCTGAAGGGAAAATGTCTCTAAGCTATTGCAGGCTCTGCCTGAGGAGCATTTCAGTGTCCCACAGTAATACCTCTCTAGAGACTGGGGAAGCCCAGGAAGCACTTTGGGAAGGGACATCTTGCAAAGCGTGTTTTTCCTTCAGTGTGGTGCTCCAAATCTCTGCTTCAGTATTTTGTATAGGAAGTTTTTCAACAAAACATCTGAGCTGTGCAGGCAAACTGTAATCAAGATGATGCTGGAGCGAACATCAGCTGTTTGCTGTGCAAACCACAGGGAAAATCACTTGCCATGTTTCTATCTGAGTCATCAAAGTTTTGACTTGTTACTGGTTTGCCAGAGAGACAGTTTTGGAAAAGCAGATAAAGTTACTGGCTGTCAAGGATGTAATTTGCCTTCAGCACATTTGATGATATCACCAGTCAGGGGCTGCTGCCCAGTGCTGTGCTTCAGTGTTTGATTATGTGGGAGCTTATTACAAGTTGAGGTGATGTTTTAAGCTCACCTTTTTTGTTGTGCAGCTTAAGAATATGAGAAGGGAGGCAAAACTTCACCCTCTACCCTAATTCTGTGTATCAAAACAGTTTTTTAATGGTCTTTAATGCAGTTTTAGTTTGAATGCTTTTACCTTGGTTGTTTAGGATAGTTGTTTTCTGTAAAGGCATGTACAAAGCTTTGCCTTTTCTGTTGGGGCTTTCTAGTGAGGGTGTGGGATGAAAAGGTGTTCTGGGACACTTCAGCAGACCCCGTGGAAGGTGTGCCATGAGGCAGAGATCCAGTAAACCAAGAACCATCCGCAGCATGTCCAAGGCTCCTGGAGAGCAAGGCCAGCTTTCTGAGGGTGTGCTTTGCAAGGCTGGGATTCTTCGCTTTTTAACAAGAAATCCATTGTGCACAGAAAGAAGTCGAACTATTGTATTGGATGTGCACTTGGATTTTCTGCAGAGGCTGCTGCTCCACTGTCCTGGATGCTGAAAGGTCGGTATTTAAAATAGACTGAGGGCTTCTTGAAGGTGAAGTTTTGGAGTACTGCCTGAGAAATTTGCTGATCTCACCCAACTTTTGCAGCTCTGAAGGACCATTTTCAAGTAGGATTTCTGCTGGTTGATTTTCCAGCTTAATTTTCAGACCCTTTGCCTCTAACTAAGTGGGAGAGAAGAGCTCCTGTGCAAGCTGTGACATCTTTGTATCCCTGCCTGAATTGTTTGGGTCCCACTGGCTCATATTTAGCTCATCTGCACCGTAGCACAATGGATAGTTTTGAAAGAGTGCCAGTGTATGAAAGTAAATGCTTATAAAGGAAATGGTGGCTTCAAGCCTTGTGGGGAGCTTACTGCTCCCATTATAATGTTGTTGATACTAACTGGGAGCAATCATCTGGATTTTCTCCCTGTGAAGGAACCTTAACTCCTGCATATAGTACTTGTGCCTTTTCAGATGGTGGCAGAAAACAACTAATGCCTGACCACATCTTTCAGATGTGCGGCTCAACATACAGGACCTTTGGGCATTCAGCTGAAGGACTGCAAGTCTGGGACCTTCCTGCTGAATGCACAGCATCATAGCACTTGTAGTTTGCATGTGCTGCATTCCCTGAATAGGCAGCTGGTCCAGTGGGCAGCCTGGGAATCCCTCCTGCCTGCTGCCCCCTTCCTCTCCTAGCTTTGATTGAAGAGGAAACATTCCAGCAGATCCTTGTGGTGAAGCTGCCAGTTGGCAAATCCTGTGCTTGCTAAGGACCTGTGTGATGTGAAGCACAGAGGGTGTGACATTTGAGAAGATGAGGAAATGTTTCTAGGAAGGAGAAAGAGGGGTGGTAGGGAGCTTGATAGTTTCTGTTTAGCACCCTTGTTTCACTCATTTTATTAGAAACCTGCTTTAAATCTTTTGGGTTAGGGTTAGGGCCAGGGTCTAATTCAAAATATGATTTAGGAGCCTATTTGTATCTCTGTTGCCAGGGTTCCTGTTTAAACAGTAGCTGGTCTTAGTAATGGTGTCTTGCTGCTGCTACTCAACTATTTTCTTGATATTTGGAGTTGGAATTTCAGGTTATGTACCCCAGGGGCAGGAGGCTGATGAGGCACCTACAGGAGGGCAAAATGTCTTGTGTAGCTTGTTTGCCCAAGCACAGTGAGGAGTATCCTAGATGTCTGGATGGTGGAGCAGAACCGAGTGGTGACTTCCTGGAGCTATCATTGATGCAAATCAGCCAAGTTGTTTAGTGGTGCACCAGATGATGCTTTCGAAAGCTAAGGGAATGGCTGGGAGGAAAGTTTGTCTTATGAACAGCTTCTACTTGTGATAAGGGTGAGGTCAGCTACATAGGCAGATGAGAGAACATCAGCAGGTGTCTCTCCTGAGAAGCAAAAGGCAAAGTGTGCACCATGTGGTGGCTTTCACAGGAAATGGGACTGAGAGGAGCTTGTGGTTGTTTAGTCTGTTGTACTGTTTTAAACTCGTGTCATGTTACCACAGATTTTATTGTATTTGCTGTAAGAGATGTTTTCAATAGCCACTTTAACAGTTACAGAACAGTCTGGCTTTATTCTGTTTTAAATTTTGTGGGTGCTTTGTTAAAGAATTGACACCTACAAAATGAGATAGTTCTTTTCCAGGGTTCCCAGGCCATATTTTCAAATGCAGATCTAGCACAGCACAGATCATCCAACTTTCCATTTTAATTTATTTTTCTTGTGCCTTTTGCATGGAAGCATAGGCTGCCCTGATCCAAGGGCAGCCTGTGCTGCTGAGTTGTTCTGTAATGGTCATGTAAGAGAGTACATGCATAGGCACTGATGGATGCCATGCTGTGAAGAGAGCCAGTAAAATAGACCTAAGGTTTGCCTATCATCTGTGAACAAGTACAGCTCTGTGTTCCTCGGGTTTTAGTGTGACATCTGTAAAGGTAGTGAAGCTCCACAAGCTGCAGGCTGTTTTCAGGGCAGATGATGACTTCCGCTGGATTCATTTCTGCTTGAGGAGGAACTGATGGGCAGAGTGGGGGTTAGGTCCCATTTTGTTATGATGTGTGCTTTTTATTACATTCTCTGGAAGAAGATTATTTTATCACTTTGCTCACTTGAAAAGAGGACCTCGATATCGTTGATGGCATACAAGATGGTGCATGTTCTGGGGGATACAGTGCAGCTGCCAGCTGAAGTCCTAGATGTTTTCTGAACTGGGTAGAGCTTGGAGCTGATCTAACCTGGAAATCCCTCTGCTTTTCTGCTTGTGTCAGCTCTCTGTGCCTTCCAAGAGGTGGTGGTTGCAGGTGGAGCTGTATCATTCCTTGCCAGCTAGAGCCAGGTGCTCTGGGTGTGTATGTTACTGGGCCATAGCAGTTCTGATTCTCTGGTTTTGTATGGTTTTTAAAGCACAAGGAAAAGCCCTGAAAAGTATGTAATTTCTCCTTTCTCTTTCTAGCTACTCTTACTTACGACACTCTCAGGTTCGAATATGAAGACTTCCCTGAGACCAAAGAACCTGTTTGGATCCTTGGCCGGAAATACAGTGTTTTTACAGGTAGTTTGCCTGCACAGTGCAATGTGCTCTAATGCTCCAGAGGATTCTGTTACTATCATAACGTTGCTTTCTGAACAGCAAGGTGACTGCAAACCTATAAGCACACTACAAAGTCTGTCTGTTTGCTGGCAAAGCATGCAGGCTGTAACTGCCCAGTTTCTGTCTGTTTGGCCATTTCCATGGACCCTGGAATGTTCTTGTCCAGAAAGTTACCAATTACGGGGCCTTGTGTCACGAGGCCAGAATGGTTGAGGCAAGGAGACAGCTCAGGGAAAAGGCAAGAAGGTGGTTTACTGCTCCGTAATTTGCCTATGACCATAATGTGTTTGGGTTGCTTGCAGCTAATCTGGGGGGAAAAGTTAAGTTTCTTCTGCACAGCACCACTGTTCCTCAACCAGTTTTTGTCTCTGGGCATGCAGACTGTGTGAGAAGCAGAATGCTGCTGTTGTTGGGGAAGGTGAGTGGGAGATGGATTTAGCTGTGTTTGGTGCTTCCTTCACATGCATGCCTTCCAATGCTTCCAAAATTTTTCAGAGAAAGAGGAGATCCTGTTGGATGTGACCTCTCGGCTTTGGTTCACCTACAGAAAGAACTTCCCTGCTATTGGTATGTACTGTGGACAAGTCTAAAAACACCCTGGAAGTGGTGATAATTCAGTATCTCTACCTAATAAAACAGTCCCTACAAGTATAACATTAATGTGCTTCCATTTATAAGGATCAGAAATGCACTTCATTAACTTGACTTTTTGCTTACCTGAGAATGAGAATTCATCATGTCCTTGGGTATGAGGGATGACAGGAATTTTAAAAAGGGTGCAAGAATGAGTTTAGGAAGCCTACCTAGAAACATCCTTTCTTTGAGCAACATGGGAATTTTTTTGTACTTCATGTTCATTAGGTCCTACATAAATCTATCATGTAATATTATTTAATGAAGGTCTTGGGGTTGAAGTGGATTAAAGTAATGAAAGCTCAAGATGAGGTACTGAAATTACCGCCTTTGTGCATCTGCTCTAGACTATGTGTGGATTTCTTGTTGCTGGGGGAGGTTAAATGCCTGAAGTGGCTGTTACACGTAGGAACTTAATGATATGAGGACCTTTTCCCAGTGAAATGGAAGGTAGAAGTCTTCATTCCCCAAGATATTCTGCATGGTCTCTTCTGTGGTTTGGTTTTGTGTACTGGGTGGAAGGTGTATCAGAAGAGATCTAAGAGCAGGTAAATGGGTTTACAAATCTCATCCATGTCTCCACTGTCAGTGGGGAAAATTGCTCAGATTTGGAAAAGAGACTTCTTGGTAGCTAGTCCTTCTGGTTTGTTCTGTTCTTTCCCTACTGCGAAACTCTTTGCCTAACAACTTATGAGACATCTTTAATGCAGTTTAGTCCCTTTAAGTTCATGTTTGTAAGCCATAGTTAAATGTGTTTGAAATTGAAGGGTTACCATGTCTTTAACTATGGCTCACAAACATGATTGGGGTTTCTATGTGAGTTATTAAAGGGGTGGGGGGCAAAACAGAGATCCCATTTTCTGAGTCATTTCCCATTTACAGTATACATATGATTTGCATGCCATACAGCAGACCTTTTCCAGTCTTTCTTTTCCCAGTCATCCCTTTTTACTGTTCCCCACTTATTCTCTGAAGAGCTCACAATGTTTATGTGGGCAAGCACAGAGGAAAGGGGAATGTCTAATGCTAATTTTGTAAAGCATTATCAATTTTGGATGTTGTCTATGTTATAAATTGCTGGCAAAACTATGGAAGATAGCTGCTGACCATCCAGAAGTTGATAAAATATTTCTCTAGAGTGATTTTTCTGCATATGCTTTTTATGCAGAGTAGTTGCATAAGGATTGAAAGAAGAAAGCAGCATTGCAAAGAAGCTACTTCTGCCAGCTGTGCTAAGGCATAGCTCACTGTGTGCTTGTAAGACAGCTTACTTGCTGTGGTCACACTATAAACATTTTACGTGTGAAGCTTGTAATAATAAGCCAAAGTGTCAGTGAAGGAGCAGCAGTTTCCTTTTGAAGTTCTGTCAGGGAGGTGCTTCCAGCCTTGAGGCCTTTGTCTAAGGCTTTCTAGTCTGAGCTAATATCCAGCTTATTCTCCAGAATTATGCAGGATATGGGGATTTAGTTATTGCTGAGGTGGCATTTCTGGTTGATGGGTTGTTTTGGAGGTGTTTTTCTTTGGCCTAAGTTGTTCACTTTGGAATCTCATCCAGCCATAGCTGCTTATGATGTGTAAATTCTTGGGACTGATTTGTTTTGCATAATGAGTTACCTTCTCAAGATAAGGATTACAGGAAGTTGCCTGTAAGAAGCGCCTTGGTATAGAAACGTTCTCTGAATTGGGCTGGGAGTCTGCAGCTATGTTCAAGGACTGTTGTACTCCAGAGGAATTCATCTCTCTAGTTGAGTTTTTTTAATTTCCCTTTGAAGTTTTTTTTCCCCTTTCAGTTCATGTTAGAGGATTTTGTTTGGTTGGTTTTAAGAGATGCCAGTAAGTTACTCAATGATAACTACATTTTTGTCTTCAGCCTTGGGTATGTGAGCTAAGATAGTCCTTATTCACTGATGTCCTTATCCACCTGATTTCTTGCGTGAACATGCTACCCAGGTGCAGACTTCCAGTGCTTTAATTTCTTTTCCCTCTGCTTTCATTTCTTCTCCCTCTTTGCACTGTTTTACTGTTCATTACATACTTATTTTCTGGCCTTGTTTGCAGGAGGAACTGGTCCCACGTCTGATACTGGCTGGGGCTGTATGTTGCGGTGTGGCCAGATGATCTTTGCTCAGGCCTTGGTCTGCAGGCATTTGGGAAGAGGTAAACCAGTGCATACCCCATATCGACGTCCAGGGCCACGTGCTCCCACCAGTGCAGTCCTTGTAAGGACAGCAGATAACAAGGGTGCAGCTGGGAACTGCTGAAGGCCCTATAACTTTTTCTTCAGTTTTCTCAAGTTCAGGGCTGTTGAGAGGACAGTGTACTGGAAACGCTGAAACAGCTGTTTCCCTGCTCTCTGCAACTACATAGGTAGACATAGTTGTACAAGCCTTAAAACAAAGCAGAGCCCTGTCACATGCTAGTTAAATCTACTGAAGACAAGAGCATAACAGATTTTTCTTGAAAGTTATTTCATATAACTAAGTTTGAAACAAATTCATAGATTGATTGTTTTTTATAGTTCAGATTTGTCGCATTGCCCTCACTTACTGAGTGTAGCCTCTTCTTCTGAATGTTTCTGTTCTTGTGCTTGACCTGTGTTTGGTCTGTAAGAAGCTCTGCAAGAGCTTACTTTTGACAGGTGTTGATGGCTTTTGAATTTGAGGGGGATGATTTTTGTATTGAGGTCACTTGTGTTTTCACAGAATACGTAGCTCATACCTGTCGATGAGAAATTGTAATTTTATTCCCCATTTGTAGGGTAGAGATACAATTTTGTTGTCTGATTTTTGCTTATTTGCTTTTCTGTGGGTGATATTTCTTTATCCCAGCTGTGAGAATGCTTACTTTTTATTTTAAATTAATTTTTTAGCGTTGAAAATGACTCAGATACCAAGTAATAAGATAGTGATATGAAAATTGGGTCAGTTGATTAATGCACAGGGAATTGTAGCTTGCAGCCTCTTGTTGCTAATAAATACCGTGTTTTGTTTCATGTATCCCCTTGTGTGTCTTAGATTGGAGGTGGATAAAAGGGAAGAAGCAGATGGCTAATTACTTCAATGTTCTTAATGCCTTCATTGACAAAAAAGACAGCTACTACTCCATTCACCAGATAGGTAAGAGCCTGGGTGCTGAAGAATGTGGAGATGCTCAGTCTGGGTTTCCCATGAGTTTAGAACATTGCTGCTTCTTTTACTGGCTTGGTGAGGGGGTCAGGTAGTACGTGACACTCTGCTGCTTGTTTTCTAACATGCTGTCAAGCTACCATTCTTTATTACGGATTATGATGCACTTTTCTTTTTGACTCCGTTAAGGCCATCAGGTTTGCCTAATGCTTTAGGTTATATTCAGCATCACTTTCCATACTGTAGCTAGCTAAGGTGGGAGGAATTCATGTGCCTGCTGTTTTTACTAGGACCTTATCATATGAGAAGACTGCTGATCAAAGAAACTCTCAGAAATAGCAAATGGATTAAGGAAGGATCACACTTTCATATAAACTTATCTGGCATAGAAGCGGCCTGTTCCAGTTTTTCTTAAGAGCCTGTAGGCTCTTAAGGCACTATTAAGGTATAGCTTCAGTGAACAGAACTTCAGATTACAGGGGTGGTCTGGTAATCAAACAGTCTGATGTTTCTTTTGAGGTAATATTGCCCGTTATGAACTTCTGCATTACTGCATTTTGGGGAAAAGATTTTACTTTATAGCCCTTCAGGGCATGCTTTTTTCTTTCATCTACATTAAGATACCCCATGAGAAGTCCTTTGCAACCCTAACCGTTCTGTGATGCTATGAAAGGGTAGATGAAAGGCTAGATTATGCTGACTTAACAGTGTTTCTAAGTGAGATTTCTTCCCCATTAAATACAAACTGATTAGGAAGGGAAACAGTGTGGATGACATTATTTGCTAATTATTTTTTTTCTTGTGATGCAGCCCAGATGGGAGTTGGCGAGGGAAAATCCATAGGTCAGTGGTATGGACCAAACACAGTCGCACAAGTGCTGAAGTAAGTGCTGCATTTTTCCTTTACATCTTTTGAAGCGTGCAGTGGGGTCATTTGGTTTGTAACCTCCTAGTTTACAGGTTTCTGCCCATGGGCTGAAGTGCAACTATATGTTTTAATGATGTTAAGCCAGCAACCTGCTTGACCTTGTTGACCTGCTTGACCTTATTGACCTGCTTGGACAGAAGGGCTCTTTCCAAGTTCTTGCCATTTATATGCTGGCAGGATGTGAGAGGAAACAGATTTCAAGTTGAGAACAACCCCCAGAAATGTCTCTCCACATCCCACAAGTAATGTGCTTGCTGCTAGAACGGAGTACAGTACCCTGCAGCAGACCAAAAGCAAGTTTCAAAGTAGATGATCTTGCTGTTGTTTGGATCTCTGACCTGACAACAGTGTCTTCATTATTGTAAAGCTTCAGTGAGCTATCAAGTCACTAATGCATAGCAGAAGAAAGCATTAGTATTTGCTACCTGGGTTCCATGGTGACGGGCAGAGGATCATAGTAGTGCTAGAGCATGGACTGCCTTTAGTAACATTTTCTCTTCTGTCACTGTTCTTCCTTCACATTGATTAGATGAGCAATTGTAACCTGTTCTCTGGAACAGGTGTAGGATTGCCTGAAAGCAGCTTTCCCAGATCAGACCATATGCCAAATTAGCTCAGGATCTGGTATAGGTGATCAGGAGATATGTATGGAAAGTCAGAGTTATTTTTCTTTTTCATTTATTATTATTTACTTTTATGCTCTTTCACTTTCTGGTAGCCGGAAGTTCTGGGATTCAAGCTGGAGGTTGTATCAGTGCTCTTGTACTTGTACGCTGTTGAGGGACAAATTCCCAGGTGTGGTCTCATTCGCAGTCCCATTTGCAATCTTGTTTATTCTTCTAGCCGTAATAACTAGTGGCAGTGAAGCCTACAACTCTGATACATGTATAAAAGCATACTTTACGGCATAACTGATAAAAGCCAATCTCTCCTAATCCAGTTTCTCCTCTCTGATACCCCACCATCTTTGTCTTGTAACTAATCCCTGCCAACTTTTTGTTTTAATTTTCCTATAGAAAACTTGCAGCTTTTGATACATGGAGTTCACTGGCAGTACATATAGCCATGGACAACACAGTAGTGATGGAAGAAATCAGTAAGTATCACATGGAGATGGGATATGGTATATCCTCTGGCAGCAAGAAGCTGAAAATAGCTGCAGTAAACAGAAATAAAAATGGAGAGCAGATAGTACAACACAAGAAGTATGAAGTACATGTTCCGTCTTAAATCTGTGGCCAAGAATACTAAAACAATCCAAGAATTGCTGTTCTAGGGCAAGGAAGTCCCTTGTTTGACTTTTGCTTCATCTGATAGAGCCTCTGACTTAGCTCTGTGGTCTCTGGATCTGGAGAGAAGATCTTCTGACCTTCAGATCAGCTAGGTGGGAGCTGCTTGGAAGGTGGTATCAAACTTGTTTGTAGCCACAGGTGGCAAGCAGTGAGAAGCTGCTTTCTCTCATAATGGGGTAGGAATGTCTTTGCTATTGGGCAGAGTAAGAAAACTGGAACAGATCGCTGAAGACAAAAATGAAAAACACTGGGGAGGCAGGGGAGGGGAAGAGAAGAGCGTCTGTCCCTGTAGTGCATCTCTCATCATCTTCTAAAGAGTGATGACTGGTTGTTTCCTTTACTGCTCCCTTCCCCCCCCCCCCCATCCTGACAATAGGAAGGCTCTGAAGGCTGAACAGCTGTACAATGTGTTCATCCCTAGCATGCTTGCTAGGTCGCAGTGTCACAGTAATGGAAGCTGAAGGCCTGCATTGCTGGTAGCTGCAGTCCTGCATGGTGCTGGCCACACAAGCCTTCTCCTTGCTTGCCATGGACTAACTTGTGGGACAGTGCATTTACACAGCACAAACCTGTGCAGTGTTTTCTGCTGGGTTAGTGTTCTGAAATGGCATCTAGAACAGTCCAGTGAGCACTGGAGCTGGTGGAAGGTTATAGGCAAGATCAGGGCAGGCATTGTTTAGGCTGGCTCCAGCTGCTGTAGAGCCAAAATAAATTAACAGGCAATTTGTCCCTAGAGTGCAGGAAAGTCACTATGTGAAGTCACATCTCTTATCAGGTAGTCTCAACTGACACAGGATCTGACTGAGAAGTGCCTGTATAGCCTTAGGTACATACAGTCCTCTGCAGTTATGTGCTAATGACCTTGGCTTAAAAAAGGCCAACATGAAAACAGAAACTGGATTTATCTTCATCTTAAGCCTGAAAACATTACTTTTTGCAGCCAATGTGCTTCAGTTCTAGCCTTGGGTACGCTGCAAGCTCTTGTCTGTGTGACACCAATTGTTCAGCACTGATGCCGCTTCAAGTAATGTGTCCATACAGATTGTAACATGCAGGGGGTGTTAGTTTATTTTCCTGGCTTGTGAATCATAATGTACCCATTCAGGGCCCAAAAGTTACTGTATAAATGGTTCTGATATGTTTTATGTCTGTAGATACCTTGTGCCCAAACATCTGTTGACAGTGAAGCATTCAGAAGTTAATGTTGTTTCATATCTGTGCTCAATTGGATCGCTAATACTGTCCACCCTAAAGTTCATAGGAAATGCCTTTTGCCACATCCATCTTTATCCCTTCTGAGTCAAGTCTGTTGTATCAGAAAGGGGCTCTTAGTTTTGGGCATTGGAAGATTCTGTGTATCACAAAGGTGGTGAGAAACCAAGACAGTAAAGCCAGTACCTGCTAGCAGCAGCAGCTGCAGCAGAAGAGATGTGGTGTCATATTTGTTGTAATATGTTTGCAGTAAATGGTTTGGATCCAGCTGGGAAGTTTTAGGCAGGTTCTGCTGTGGTGTGGCACCACAGCACTGCAAGGCCTACCAAAGAAGCGAGGTGAATTTAGTCTGTGCTGAGCTCTCTACTGCTTAAACTTGGGTGAAATGTGTTCATATCACAGTGCAGAACTGACAGTTGCTTTGCCTGATAAAGAGACCTGCAGTGACACTCCATTCAGCAACAGCTTTGGCTTGGCAGCTGGTTTCAGATCATCAGAACAGGCAGGCTACTGCAACAGAAAATACCATGACCTTCACTGCTTTAGCAGGGTAAATCACTACAAATAATGACTTTCAGTTTTCTCAGGACCTTCAGTAGCTATATGCATGAGAGATGGATATGTACACCTTCTCCCTCCATGAGGGACAAAATGGAGAGCAACTGCAAACTCTTTAGTGCAGGTTCTCTCTCATACTGAGGTTTTAGATCAAAATCCTCTTCCTTCTAACCTTGGGTGTAACATTCTCCTTGTTCAGCTGGGTTTGAAGCTCTTCGTATGAGCAAACACCCTGCTGAGATAGCTGGTGATGAAGGTGTTTACATCGTGTCCTACCTGCTAGTGTCCTGGCATTCAGCTTAGCCCAGGAATAAATTAAACGAGCCTCTGACATTGTCTAATTGCCTTGGCTTTAGATTAAAGCTGTGGGTTTCTTTGGGGGTCTGGGTTTTTTCTTCACGCACCCAGCAAGTAATGAAATTGGCCGGTGAGACAGGTAGGCTTGGAGCTGTTTCTGTACCACAATTTACATAATCTGGTTGCATTACAGCCTGCTGTGTGTTTGTCAAGCCTGTAGAATGAGGATGCATAGCGCTGATGTTATGTGTATGCCCTGAGGAGTTCTGCTGCCCCATATCTTACTGCAAAGCTTGTGTTGAAATTGCAGAGCTTAATGATCATCCTGCTTTAGGTCTCTAAAGTAGCTTCTGAATGATCCCCAGTAAAATCTGTGAAGGCTTTAGTGAGCTTTAGGAAAGTTCACTACTACTCTGGACAGACACTGTGTGTGTGTCTTGTGACAGCACTCATTGAGTATTTCCTGTGTTCAGCCATAATGCTTTGCTCATGCGGTTCAGCTGTCTTCATACCCTCCACAAACTCCTCTGGAGTTGAGCACTTCAGATTATCTCTTCCTGCCTAGACACTTCCTGCATTCAGGACTCTGGCCTGACCTCCTGATCGGCTCATTCAGCCTTGTTGCCACACGTTGTTGCTTAGCTGCTCACCTGCTGGAAGAATTTGCTTTTTAACAGCCCAGCAGATGGTGGCTGTGAGTACAACATGCTTTGGTGTAATCTTGAAGCTGAGCCTTACCAGAAGCCCTGCAGGGAGCACATACATCACCTGATCCCATCACTGCACCACTTTAAGCTTTTTTTTAAGTGCAGTAGGCTTTTAGTAAATAGCAATTACTGATAAGAGCTTGAATAGAGTTACTCAAGGTCCAGAAACGGAGGTTATTTCTGATGCTTTCTGCTCCTGTTCCCTTTCCATAGGGCGGTTGTGCCAGTCCAACTTCCCGTGTGCTGGAGCTGCAGCATGCCTTGCTGTGGAGTCAGACGTACTCTACAACGGGTACCCAGAGGAAGCAGGGGTTAGAGACAGGCTTTCACTGTGGAAACCATTGGTGCTGCTGATACCTCTTCGCCTTGGGCTCACAGAGATCAATGAAGCCTATATTGAAACACTGAAGGTAGGGGATCTGGAGCTCAGTTCCTGGTGTTCTGGTTCTTAAGGACCCTGTTGTGCATTACTTAATTTCTAGAATTTGGTTTTGGGGCAAAAAATACTCAGAAGTAATTTTCCTATTTGCAAAAGAAAAATGTGTTTAGAGACAATCCTTGTCAGAGGTCAGGGTGTGGGTTCTTGCAGGCTATAGTTAGAAAAATTGTGGGGTGGGATGAGGGGTTGGGGGTTTTCTTTGTTTTGTTTTGAGTTGGTTTGGTTTTGAGGATCTTACTTCACAACTTAATCACAGATCTTCTCTGTGGAGCATTAGTTCTGCACAACTGTACTGTGCTTGGTGGCAATATAAGCATTAATGAATGTAGTGTTTCAGACTCCCTGTAGCTCTGATGCTGGAACTTGTCCTGCAGACTGAGGCTAGAAGCTGGCAGATGGTTCTAGGTTCCAGGAGGCTGCAGGATTTAGGGTGTGCAGAGTACATGCACAAGGCAGGGTAGGGTGCATATTGTCTTGCTGTCCAAATGCTAGTGAGCTCTGAGTTGCACTGGTAAGAGAACTCCAAATTCATGCTGAGGTTACCTGTCCTTAACTCAGTAATTAAGGTGCCTGGATACTACAGCTGGATAAGGAACTTAAACTGTTTCCTGAGTGATCGTTCCATTCCATGGGCACTATTGCTGCCTTATTAGAGCTCCAGGGGATCTTGCCACTGATTGCAGCAGAGCCAAGACTTGCCCAGACCGAGTCCTGAAGTAGTGCTGCTCCTTCCATCTGGTGCATCTGTGTGTTCCTGTCAGCAGTTACAAGTGGTTTTAAGCTGCTTCCATGTTCCTTGAAGGTCCTGTGTTGCAGCCTTCCTCATGGAGCTTCTTTCTGGAAATAGCTGTTCTTGCTGCTAGAGTTGCTGATTTTCAGTGTTCCCATCTTTCCTTCCCACTGCATTTTTTGATGTTTGCCTTTGTTGCCACCTACTGTCTCACTGTCTGTCAGCTGTGTGTTTTCTGTATTGCTTTTCCAGCACTGCTTCATGATGCCCCAGTCGCTGGGAGTGATCGGAGGGAAACCAAACAGTGCTCACTACTTCATTGGCTATGTAGGTGAGTGCCCAGAATACTGCAAAGACCTTCCAAGCATCTCCCCCGAGCTGAAAAAAATACTTGTGGAGTGGTACAGCTCCCCTGCTTGGTCTGTTGTGCATGCTGCAGGGTGGTCCTTTCCTGTGTGGAAGGCTGCTGTGGACTGAACCTCTGTGTGAGGACCCAAGTGATGCTATACTATAGCAGCTTTGAACAGCAGCTATAGTATAAGCCAAAGTTCCACTGTGTAATGCTAAATCCTGTCTGTAAAGAGGTGTGCATAGACACTTCTTCCTATGTGCAGTGCTGATCTTCCTTTAGGGGCTTGGCTGGATTTAGTTGTCCACTTCCTGAAACTCTACAAACTATTTACTGTTTCACTCTCCTCTTTCCCTCTGATTTTCTGTCTCTGCCCAAAACCTCAAGCTGGTTGTGCTTTGGATTTCTGGGGCCTACTTGAGCTCACACAGGACCCTGGAAAGCATGTGAAGGACCAGTACCCAGATAGTGCCTGCGCCTTGATCCCAGGGTGTTGCTGTGGAGTGACCACTGTGGTTCTGCTGGCAACTGGCTCTTTGCCTGTATGAGAATCATTTGGGAAAGTGTGAGAAAACAAGTTGTCCCTAGAATGTGTGTTCTGTTGTGGTTTTATGAGAGCTGGCTCTGTCATCGCTCTTCCTACTCTTTCTATCTCACCATTTGCCTCTCAGAAGAGCAGCTTCTACGTGGTTCTTCCTATTGATGTCTCCTTGCCTGTCTGTCCAGGTGAGGAACTCATTTACCTGGATCCCCACACTACACAGCCTGCAGTGGAGCCCAATGACAGTGGCTGTATCCCTGATGAAAGCTTCCACTGCCAGCACCCTCCCTGCAGGATGAGCATTGCTGAGCTTGACCCCTCCATCGCAGTGGTGCGTTCCTACCCTTTGTTTCCAGTCACCCAAAGGAGCGGTGTTGTGGTCCCTCTGTTCCATAGCCATCCCTTTACCCAGGGAACTGGCAAAGGGCAGTGATGGTGGGTTGGGTATTCTACAGGCATGCTGTGCTCTCAGCAAGTGCTGCTGTGGGTTTTGGTAATGATGGTAAAGAAGCTCCTCAAGAAGGAAGCACTTTGGTCCAGGGAAGTTCCACTTGCATGGCAATTAAATGCCATTCCTCATTTCTCTCAAGTTTAGTTTAGGCTTTGATTCCTGCCTTTGATGAGCAGATCCAAATCCATTCCTGAATCCATATTATGGTTCAGTGTGGCTTGTTTTCTGTTGAACCTGCAATGCCTTACACAGACCTTTGTTTCCATGTGGGTTGTTTCTGCCCAGTTTTCTTTCTGCAGTAGAGCAGTCCATTACACTGATGATTTCAGCACTTGGACAGTCTGGTCACATCAAGTGTATGGGGAGCATTCAGTTTAATGGGGCAGTGTAAGCCACAGTTTAAAAGTAAGGCATTGAATGCCTCTTTCTTTTTTTTTTTTTCCAGGGCTTTTTCTGCAACACAGAGGAGGACTTTAACAATTGGTGCCAGCAAATCAGAAAGGTTTGTGTTTATATCACCAAGAAAGAAACAAAGGAATATAGGTTATTGTCTTGTTTCCAAACTGCTACACAGAGGCCATGTTCTCTGTAGCATCATCCCATTTGGTTTATTAAACTACCAAGAAGAGCATAGCTCATGAAATGCTGTTGATGGTGTGAGTCAAAGATCTGAGAAATGTTTTTTCAGCTGCAGTGAAGTGCCAACAGATTGTTGTTACCCCTTAAAGACCCAGAGCACTGTGGGTACAGAGTTGTTGGTTCTTATGGCTCTGCTCTTGCTCCACAGCTGTCCCTTGTAAGAGGAGCGCTGCCAATGTTTGAACTGGTTGAACGCCAGCCTTCGCATTTCTCCAACCCTGATGTCCTGAATCTCACACCAGGTAAGGCCCTGCAGGGGGGCAGAGTGAAAGGTGAGGTGATCCCTACTGGAAATTGTATGGAATTGCATGGTGACTTCTAGTATGTTCCTGTTGCACCTGGAGCTCTTGGGTCAATTGATCTTGTTTCTTTGTGAAGCACTTTCAGCTGGTGTTTCACAGATCCCATGGTGTCTCAGGATGATTTTTAGGATGAGCCTGTGAATGAAGATGGTGACTGAGGGAAATTAAAAACAAGTTCATAAGCTATCACAACAACATGAATTTATGATTTATAAAGGGATGCTTGGAGGAATTAAAAGGGTCCATTGAAAAGGCTGAAAAATGAGTTTCTAGGTAATGAAAATGGTCAGACAGGGCTGATCAAACTTAGTTCCAGTGTAAGTCACACATTCCCTGTAAATGTGCTACTACCAATGCAAAAGGGAACAAGCGCTGGGCAGTATCTTGGCTGTCAGGCTCTGTTTATCGTGTTAATAATGTGCACAAACATTGTAGGAGATAAAAAGCCATTGACTGCTTCTGCCAAGAGCAGTAAGTATACATAGACAAACCTACCCTGTTACCAGGCATTGGACTGTGTCCTGTTACTTGCATCCTGCACCCTGTGCTTACTTGCTATCTCTCCTTAGCATGAACTTGAAAAGCCTGCCTTATCTCACTGTGCTTTTCTGTCAGAATGCTTGATTGCCTTCAACTGCCAATTGATCCTTACCTCTACTAAATTCTCCCTAATTGCTGCCTTTCTTACTCTTAAAAATGTTTTTGTAATGGGCTACTTGTCCTTCTCTCCCTTCCCTACCTTTTAGAACCTTTCACATCTGCTATGGCCATTCTGTTTCTCAACAGTCCTGTCCCTCACTAGAAGGAATAATTGTACTTTCATGATTATCCAGCCCCTTGTCCTTATTTTCCCCTGCCACTTGGGTGCTACTTGTGGGCACTGCAATCTATGTGACTGCCTTGTATCACTGGTTTTGATCACTGTGCTGTGGGATTAAAGCTTGTTACAACATGTCTGGGGGGAGTGTTCAGCTTTGCAGTTCTCTGTCTCCAGCCATCAGTTACTGCAGTTAGGCTTTTGGCTGGCTGTTCTGCCAGCGAGTGCTTTCATGAAGCCTGAGTAGGTTTCTCCTTTACTTCCACAGCTTGCACATACATTCTCACCTGCATTTCCCTTATGGTAAAGTTACTTCCCCTATAGGTATGTGCTGTCTCCTCACTATAGAGTTGGAAGGGTGAACAGGAGGGATTAAATACATTATCTTTCCTCACAAAATGGACTGTACTAATTACTTCTGAGAGTGCATGCTGTGTAATTACATTCCCCAGTAGCTGGATCAAAGGCATCTGTAGCATAAAACAAGTCTCTGATACATGGGGGATGGGGAATGTTCCCATATCACTTAATTGAGCCAGAAATCTTCATGGCTGTTATTACAGACCTTAGGCAAGCTCTTCTATTTTGGGCCTATTGAGGCAGAACAGTCTCCTGCTAGTACAGAGCTGCTGTACAGGAAGGTTATACAAAACTCACAGCAGTGTTGTGCTGCATCAGGGATGCTTTTGGAATCTATGAGATGTGGTGCACCTTCTGTGCACCATGTAATTCTCTCCAATGCATTTTTCTGTGCTACTGACATGTTCTCATCCCTCTCAGGGCCTTCATTGGGGTATCTGGAACTTGCAGGCATTTAACACTCAAATTCTGCTACTCTTCAGCTGATCTCACTGGTGCTGAACAGTCAGTGCATCCCATGGAGCTAGCGCTTCCTTTTTCTCTTGCAGACTCTTCTGATGCTGACAGATTGGAAAGGTTTTTTGACTCCGAAGATGAAGACTTTGAAATTCTATCCCTTTGAAAACAAACAGGAAACTGACTGCAAATTTGTGTTATGTGTTGGGAGAAGGGGGGGAGGGAAGCTCCTTCAAGAGCCTGGGGCTACCGGTTTTCATAGGTGCTTGCTGCCATCCCCACCTCGTCCATCCTGGCATTCTGTGCAGCCTCTGAGTGGAGAACAGATGAAGAATCAAGTGACACAGCCTTACTGTCTGGAGTCAGAATTTCTCAGTAGAAAACAGTTGCTGGAAGTGGATGCAGTTGTGCTTAGGAGTTAAAAGACTTATCTGTTACATCAGCAGGTCAGATGGCCTTCTGGGGAGGCATAGAAATCATTAATCCTTACATGGGGACTCTGAAGCTTAAGTAGAGCTACCCATCATTTAGCAGGTGAAATGTAGAGTTAATTCCTTTAGCAGCTTCTCTTCTCACTGGCCAACTTGGACTGCAGCTCACAATGCAAGTGAACAACAGACACAGCTGTGAAGCCCCTGGAGTGCAGATGGCCAGGCTTCCTACAGTACACCTCCTGTCCGTGCTTTGCAGTACGCAGCACTTCCTCCTAGATTTAATGTCCCTCCTCACATGCTATGAAAAGGAAGTTGAGGGAATTTACAAGTAACTGGTAATTCAATAAGCAAAAGGCTGTCTGGGAAAGTATGGAGCAGACCTGTGCTGCTGGGGAGGAACATCTCTATCTCAGTTTAAATAACAGCAGAAAGAATGGAAGAATAGAAAATGTGTGTGTTCCTGCTCCGTGAGTCAATCAGACATTGTGCTTCTACAATGGATTAATGTCTACAGCAAGTATCTTCAGGAAAGCTGCTTCAAGCAGAGAATTGGATTCCGTAGTCCTGGAAAAACAACAGTCCACAGCTGGGAGAGGCAAAATAGGGCAGCTGAGATCTGCCAGTCATGTGCCTGCTTGTGCCAGCACCCCAAGGGAACTAATCCTGTTGGTACCAAAAATGTGAGCTATAGAATTCCTCAAGGTGTCCCCCGTGAGTTGTAGTTCCTCCAGCTGCTCCTGTTAGACATTCCCTTTCCAAATCAGAAGAGGGGCCTGAAGGTCAAGTAGGCTTCCTAGCTCAGTGGGTACCTTTCTTTTTGTTTTCTGCCAGCTTCACCTCCCTGCAGAGTATGCACAAAGGTACTGTAGGAGCTAACCCAGAGAAACCCATTTCAAGTCATCATCCCAAAGAGGGCAGTAAAGACAGAATGCCTTGAGAAGGTCAAATTATACTGGAAATTTTAGCTACTTTTAAGATGATAGCTCTGCCTGGGGCCCTTTTCCTCACAGAATTTGGAGAAGGGTTAAAGAGTAGAGGAGAGCTGTCTTAATGCAAACTGCAGCAGAAGTTGCTGAAGTAGTTTCCTTCATGCACGCTGCAGATTGCAGACCTGTTTACAAGGCTTTGTTTTCTACATTTAGGATGGAACCTGTCAGTTGATGCTTTTGTACCCAAGGCTGGTGCCAGCTGGCTAGAAATGACTTGTTTCTCCTGTCACTGATACACTGATGCTCTCTAACTGTCCCTGTTACCCAAATGCAGAGGTTTGAACTGGGAACCACAATGCTTCTGTCACTAAATTATTATTTGCTGCTTTCTGCCTGCTTCTCTCCTCTCTTGTAGTTAGAGGAAGAGGCAGCAGTGGAAATGGGGCTGTGCTCCATTCATCTGCTTTCAATTTGTATCTGAATAAACAGATTAAACTCTTTGCCTGTCCTAATGTTTTAGCAGATGGCATGAAGGTGGTGGCAGGTGGTATCTAGTAACCCTGCAGTGGGGTTGGGAATGCTGTCAAAATTACTTGGTTTTACCCTGTTAGGGCAATGAAAGGGAAGCTGTGGTGACATTATCTATTGGGACTGTCAAGTTCATATTCCTACTCCAGTGGGTAAGCACCTGCAGACATGCTAGCAGAAAAGGAAAAACACATTTCCATAGTAATTATACCACCATATCTGTGCACCTTTCAAATGATTTAACATTCCAGTTTACTGTAGTTTGCTGGTCATTACTGATGACTTAGATGAATTCACAGCTGCTCTGGTGTGGCAGCCTGTTCTAGGCTCTTTAAATTACACTGTGTAGGAGTCACAAGTAACTGTTCTGATCTTGGCCACAGGAGTAACTTGACCAGTCTAAAATAATTTAAAGGCCACTTGCCCTTCAAACTGGTGTTGCTATGAGCTAATATATCAATTTCAAATTCCTACCTGCTCATAGCAGTTCAGTTTTTGTATTGTTCTCACTGAAAAGCTGGGGAGCAGACCTGAATTCATCTTTCCATTCCACGGCTCTAGCAAACTACTCCTCCTGTGTCTGAAACGCAGCACCTTCACTTCCTATATATCCTTCTAGAAGATAAATTATCATTCTGGGGAAAAAAAAATGACCTGTGCAAGATGTTTTAAAGAGTAATTTATTAGGACGTCCTCTACAAAATCGTTTCAGCACTGGGAATGCATGTACTAGAGAAGCAGAAGAATCTGAAACATGGCAGTTGCCATAACTGAGATTGGTGCTGTCTGTCCAGGGGCAGCCCTAGGCTCCATGCCCACATCTGCATGACATGACTGGAGCTAGAACAAGAGCTTCTGCTTGAGGTAGGGAGGGTTTTACAAGGAATTTGCTACATGCTTATTGCATGTTCATGTATAAAATATAGAAGGGACTATGCAGGATGAAGGGGAGGAGCAGACACAATCACAAGGACATCAGCACCATGCTGGACTCAGAATACATGAGATCAAAGCAGTTACTGGAAGGTGATGTAGGGGAGTGAACCAAGAGAGGAGGATCTAAGAGTTTTCCTTTAGGTCTAAAAGAGTAACCTGTATAAAGTTTTATTTCCAGAGTTCTTCCAAAGGTTTATTCTGAACTTCCTGCATGGTTTTCTCTGCAATGGACTTGATTTCTCTGTGCAAGTCTTCTATGCTCTTTGAAGCATCCATTACCTGTTTCCAGGACAAAAAATACAGAAACATATTCTTCAATTAATGATACCAACTAAGAAAAACTCACCTTGCTACTGTCTGCTCCCTCCATTACTCAATGCTGATACTATTCATCAGCAGTGAAAGGAGTTAATTACACATCCTGTTTTATATGGTTTCTGGAGTAGAACTGGAAAAATCTATTTTACTTAAGAATAAGCCTGTAAGAAATAGATGTGGGGCTGAATGAAGGGAAACAGAAGAACTGCTGCTGCTGCGTTGTTTGCTGACAGTCTTTGAGACATGGGACATAAACACAGGTAAACGTTCTTCATCCTGTACTGTAGTCCCCCAGAAACATCCACCCATGATAGCAGAAACCTCTAAAAATCCATCATGTGATGTCCCACTTTCAGATTTGCTGGTTTTTAACTACTGCAAGCTAAGGGCAGTAAAGGCGGTAGAGCTGAGAAAGCTGTCAGCCTGAGAACATGATGGCTGGTGTTCCCAGGCTGACATTTGAAGACCAGCAAGCATCACTCCCGTGCAGTTGAGGGAGTGACTGAAGTGTACAAAGGATTTGGTGAAGAGATGTAGAGATGTGCAGATTTATCGCAGTGACCTCTGCAATGCTGGCCCACACAACACTGCTGAGGAACAGCAGCTGTGAGGATACACAATAAATAGACTTTGTGATTAAACGGTAGCACAGCCAGCATCACCTCTGTGCTCACACAATATCCTCCAGTTATTTGTGTAACCGAGCTAGGTTTCACGCTGTGTTTCAGAGGGTTCTTTGGCAACGTCTGTCATTCTAACTGAGGGGCAAAGAGAGAGGAATGCTAACTATACCTTTAATGTGTACTGAAACTGGATTTCCACGCTTATTTCAGGGACACCTCTTCACCATCTATTCTGCTATTTATCTGTTTGACAGTTGTGCACTTTGGGATACTGTACACAGATGTGCTGCTTAAAGTGAAAATTCCTCTCAAGAGATGGACAGTCAGTTTCCCTTTAAGAGAACGATTTCCATAAAGCTCTTTCAGAAAATAAATCAACCAAGTAAGTCTTCCCCCACCCCAACAGAGTGTTAGGGTTATTTCCTCACCTTCCAGTTTAATGTCTTGTCTGTCATCAGATGGTAGAAGGACTGTAGAACTTTCTCTTGGAAGGAGCTGTTCTCATAACGTTCACTTCCAAAGTTCCCTCGTTTTGCTGCTGCTTCTGGGCTTAACTGAAGAAACAGAATCAGATCTGGCTTTGGGAGTCCAACGTCAGGCTGTTTGCACCACTCCAGGCAGAAGTTCTGTCCCAGACAGAAGATAACCAAGTTTGAGGTGAAAGAAAGAAATCCAAAGCAGGTAAAGCAGCAGGTTAGCTAAAGAGTGGGTGGGAAAGGCATAGGCAGAAAAGACAGGAGATGCAGCCTGAAACACTAAGCACAGGCTACAAACTGAAAAGGTGATATCCCAGCTTACCATGTGAGAATTCAGTCTTGGTAATTTTGAGGGGGCAGGTTTTGCTAGGTGCTGTGCACCTCTCATGATCATTTAAGTTGGACAGCACTAAAGATTTTAACATCTCTTCTGCAGACCCTAACAGAGCAAAATACCAAGTCATATTCTGAGTCTCCACACAGCTGTTACCAGTCCAAAACTTGTGATCAGTCCAAAAGAAAGCTGCTTCCAAATACACTGCACAGCTTCAGTGTAGATCTTTCTGAGCTCAGTGTGAGGTCAAGGGAGAGGACTCTCCCCCTCTACTCTGCTCTTGTGAGACACCCCCTGCAGTCCTGTGTCCAGCTCTGGGGGCAACAACACAAGAGGAACGTGGAGCTGCTTGAGTGAGTGCAGAGGAGGCCACGAAGATGCTGCAAGGGCTGGAGCAGCTCCGTTATGGAGACAGGCTGAGAGAGCTGGGCTTGTTCACCCTGGAGAAGAGAAGGCTCTGGGGACACCTTAGAGCAGCTTCCAGTGCTTCTCTAAGCATTGGGGAACTGAATGGGGAATAGCTTTATGCTGTCGGAGGGGAGATTTAGATATGAGCTGTGGCTGCCCCATCCCTGGCAGTGTTCAAGGCCAGGCTGGACAGGGCTTGGAGCAGACTGGTCTAGTGGAAGGTGTCCCTGCCCATGGCAGGGGGTTGGAACTGGATGAGCTTTAAAAGCTCCCTTCCAGCCCAAACCATTCTGTGGTTCTACAAAATACAGAGAGAAGCAGGGGCTACTGCAGGTCTCACTCACCTGTTTGGCACTTGTGAAGGCCACTCCGGAAAAGGCATATCTGTCAACTACAAGTGTGATCCCCTTATGCAGTTTCTCTTTCATCATTGGTCTGAAAACCACGTGGTAGAGAAAAGAAAACAGTTACACTCCTTCATAGCAATACAAATGAAAGGAAGCTCATGAGGCTGCTGATTCCCTATTAATATATGTCATCATTAATGGTGACCATCAGTGATGTCAGGGTTATCTGTGATGCTGATCGCATTTAAATAGCAGCTTCCAGAGCCTAAAGAGGGCCTTACAGGAAATCTGGAGAGGGACTTTTTGCAAGGGTCTGAAGTGAGAGGAAAAGGAGGAACAGCTTTAAACTGACAGAGGGGAGACTGAGGTTAGATATTGGGAAGAAATTCTTCCCTGTGAGGGTGGTGAGGCCCTGGCACAGGTTGCCCAGAGAAGCTGTGGCTGCCCCATCCCTAGCAGTGTTCAAGGCCAGGTTGGACAGGGCTTGGAGCCACCTGGTCTAGTGGAAGGTGCCCATGCCCATGGCAGGAGGATGGGAACTGGATGAGCTTTAAGGTCCCTTCCAGCACAAACTATTCTATGAGTCAATTCCTTTTTTATGTGGTTTAGTAGATTTGTGATACACTCTGCCTCAGTCAGAGAAAAGCATCCTTTATTCACATCAACTTCTCACAGCTCACTCATCTGCCATATGCTTCTCAGTTTATTGCCACCACTACTACAGTAAAGATTTATTATTTTTTTCTTAATTAAACCCCTTTCCAGTGTAGGTTTCCAGCAACAGCCAACACTCACTTCCCTAGCTCCACACAGACTCAGGAGCCAAAAGGACGGACAGCTGCTTACAGCTGAACGCAGCCTTCAGCTAAAGTTAAGTTCAGACATGACTCCTTAACCATTCTGTCACTCACACAGACTTCTTTGCAAAGCAAGGTCTCTCAGGAAAAGATGTATATTCCTATTCCAGGCTGGTATAGTCTCAGCTTCCCCATTCTGATGCTAGTACAGCACTGGAAATATCTGCATCTAATGACTGCAAAAAACTAAACTGTGGGATTTGACCTAAGATTAAATCCAAATCTGTGAGAGTTCTTGAAACTTGGGAGTCTTGGGTGACATGGTTTAGTGTGAGGTGTCCCTGCCCATGGCAGGGGGATTGGAACTGGATGATCTTAAGGTCCTTTCCAACCCTAACTATTCTGTGATTCTATGAGACATTATTTCCAGACATGCTTCCCTTGCTAAACAGGATCATACTCTCATACCTATTGCAAGCTAAAACCCCGGGAGGATTCAATACCATGCAATTTTCTTTTACATCTTAAACATTATCTTTACACATGTTCCCAGCGGTTAGCAGAGAAGAGCAGGTGAATGGTGTGGTCCTCCAGGTTCTTATCCTTCACCAGGTACGAG